TTCTATTGAATATTCAACTCCCAGTTCATTTTTTTTCTTGAAGGATTATAATACATTGAAATTATTCACAGATGATTGTATTGAGAGAGAGAAAAAAACTGTTCCTTCTTTTCATTGTAAACTTCTTAATTCAGACAATGATAACAAGCATATTTCTTTTTAAACATTTTCCCCCATACATTATTGAAGTTAATCAAAGAATTATGTATGTTGTTAGTTACACTTTGGCGCCATTTTTTTTATGAATAGAGTTTTATAAAATATTTTAAAAATATTTGAGCATATTTTTATGTTACCAGTTTAAAATTTGATGGTAAAAACACCAGACCACCATGGAAAACCTGAAAGCACTGAATGACCGTTCCATCCTAGTATGCAACTTTTCAGCAATGAGTATTCAAGGTCCTACTAGCGGAATTCAAACACAGAGGTTAAGCTTACGTAGGCGAGAGTGATAAGTCCTGGGTTTGAGTCTCGCAAGGTGGGATCGTGGATGTGTATAGCTAAGGAGTCCCATAATAAGAAGAAACGACGAAACAGATTAAACACAATACTGCAGTGTAAAAATGATATTTTGAAATTAGTATATTTTTTCCAATTAATCTTACCATAGATTGGGAACTGCTTCATATTAACTTGATGCATTACAATATTGTAATAACTATAATCCTTTTTTTTTAGAAAAGATAATTCTTTTAACTTTATTGAATTTCATTAGATTCATATATTGATGATCAACACTTCTAACTATGGGATAGATTATTATTTAAAACAGAAATTGTGAAGTCTTATTCCTTTTAAACTCAATGTCGTGTAATTTTATCAAGGTTAGACGTAGGGTATTACAGAATGATGGTAAATCAGTTGATGAGGTTGTGAATGTCCATCGACTGATATGGTTGGGTCATGTGTTACGTATGCGTGAACACCGATTACCATGACAAGCAATGCTATCTAGTGTTAGGGAAAGGGCGGCCAAATCAGCCAAAACGTGGAATCAGTTCTTGAAGTCACTTAATTCTAATCTGAGCCATGTTGGTAGATGTAGATTACTTGGTTGTGATCCGCATGGCTATCGTAAACAATGATTGGAGACTGTGGGTGACATGGCTCAGAATCGATCACAATGGTGTAGGCGTTTACATTCTCTGTCTTCCATTAGACGATGAGATTAAAATCGATTCATATCTTTCTTTCTACGAACTAATTCTCTCTTCCTGTACTACCTCCTTATACACAATCTTTCTTTTATATATTAAACCAATGAGTTAACTGCTTCTATGAATCCGGTGTTCGTCTTGCTGTGCTAATGAGATGTAGCAACTTAAACCGAAGCATATATGTGCCTGGTCCCTAAGTTGTAGCTAAGCGACTTATCAAAGTCTTTTAGCTTCAAACAAGTACAACAGTACCTTCTCATTAATTGCTGAATTGTCATCAATAATACTCTTGATTTCAGTACGAATGTTTACTAACCAAAGATATGAAGGTATTAAAGTTTATCTGTTCAAATATATATGTGTATATATGTATATTTATAAAAGCAGTTTTATTCAGCTAGTTAATTAGATCTATTTTAGAAGTACTTCAATTTTAGTTATTTTATTTGAAATATTGATGAAATCGAGTCAAATGACAAATACCAGTTTACAGGTTATTTTACGTATTAAAAGATCTCTGACAATCTATACACACATAGATCTATCTGGAGTTTGTGCTGATGTCGTTCAGAAGAACGATGAAAGCTCCACGACCAAACCATCCAGTTCAGAGAACAAAACTCCACCAAAATCATCCACCTGAGCTACAAATCTTCTCCACCATCTATTACAAACAGTTAGTCAACTTGATAAATTTAAATAAGATAATGAAAGTTCAAATTCATCAGAGTAATATATTTCTGAATGTTATATCTTGACGACAATAATGAATGGTAACTTTTGGGATCCATTTAGAGACCAATACTATACGTATATTTTTATTGTATAATTGTTAAGTAACTAAACTGTTCATATGCATGTCGCTCTTATTATAAGCTTTAATTTGACCCATAGACTATTATTATACGATTTATCATTCTTGAATTATGCCCTGTCTATTAATTACTACCTCCTCCATTCACAGTTTCATTTGGCTAAATCTCGTACAAATATTATTTCCTATTTTATGGTACGATGTGGTCTGTCTGGTTGGTATGTAAATCTAGTATGTTTGGAATAAATGATTCATATCGCTGAGGCTGAGATTGGTGTTGTGGACTTAACTGGCTAGTCTAAGCTAGGTGGGAAGCAGGACCGATAAGTACTCCAGACTGTTCGCATGAGTTTTATGCGTCATGGGTCCGGTCACCACTTTATTTTCTAAAAGAGATTCATCATTTCAACTTGATAATATTAAATATTTTCAAAGGTAGTTGATTGTTTTCAACTATCGTTAGAGAATCATTGATTCTTTTACTAATTAAATAAAATTTATGTTTTCATTTTCAGTACAAACAGCATACAACACTGATTGCATCTTTCCTTTATTATTATTATTATTATCTTTTTCCTGAAACAATTCTCAGTTAATTCAGAAATCAGTTTTTGTAAAATGTCCAAATATACTGATGCCCCCAAATGCTCTCGTATGGTCATAAGTGAAGAGAGTTAACTCTCCCTCTTGAAATGCACTCAGATTGGCCATGCATATACATCCACTGCCAGGGTAATACTGCTGACTGCCTTCTCATGGAGGCGGTGTTCTTTACAAAATTGAGGACGAAAAGCGAATGTCCGGCTTCATAACCGAGATTGTGGATATGGAGGATCCGCCTGGGAGAGTTGGAAAACCCTGATTTCAAACCAATGGTGCACAGGATCCTGAGGGAACAAATGGCGTATGAACCTATTGTTGGTCAATGGATTACCATGGGACTGCATCTCCTGACGTTGCTTTACTGTCTTGTGAATTAAACCTCCAAGGTAAAGGCTCGAGGTGTGGCCCTCTACAAAAAATCACCTGCTTCGGTTTGGACACTCAAGCAGTATCATTAGCCCACACACAAATCAAGTGACTTGTATCGTGCATATGTATTTGGTGCCAATATTTATCTGTTCAAATAGTAATCAATACATAAATCGATAAGCTGAAATATGATCCTCTTAAAAAGGATCTTCCTGTCTTTTGATTTATTTTTGGTGTAAAATTATGCTTGCTTAATGAACTGTATCGAAAAAGAATAAAAACTGAAATAAAAATCAATTTAGGAAATAATTCTGTTTTTTTTTTAAAATTTATATTATGTACTGTATTATTTCGTGTATACCAGTCATTAGTTTTTATTAAGACTATAATTTGTTTACCATTTATTACTTAGAGACAACATAAACTATACATATTGAATGATTTAAATATTGTTTATCATCAGAAGGGGTTTTGTGGAGATTTTTAGAAATTTCAATAGTTGAAATCATGAGTCAATTGAAGCTAGACCACCATGGAAAACCTGGAAGCACTGAACGGTCGTTTTGTTCTAGTATGGGACTCTTCCTTGGCAATGAGCATCCACGATCCCGTCCCCGCAAGACTGGAATCCAGGATCTATCAGTCTCACGCGCGAGCGCTAAACCATTAGACCACTGAGTCGGCTGGCAACGATGTTAATGTCTAACTTTTACCAATCCACGAAATTGCACTGTCATACACCATTGTCTTCAGTCTACTGATATCTCACAACAGACTTGGTTGAACTCCACTGGTCATGGCTTCTCACCAGAACTACAGGAGTATCTCTTGAAGTCCATCACTAGTGAGAAGATGATTATTATCAAAAGTTAGACAATAACACCATTGGAGGCCAGCCGGCTCAGTGGTCTAATCGTTAAGCGCTCCCGCACGAGAATGATAGGTCCTGGGTTCGAATCTCGCGGATGGCGGGATCATGGATGAGCACTGCTGAGGAGTCCCGTACTAAGACGAAACGGCCGTCCAGTATTTCCAGGTTTTCCATGGTGATCTAACATCAATCGGTTCATGATCTTAACTAATAACTTTGTAATCCACCCAACCCGTATGCTGAAAACTTAAACCAATGGATTTATTTCAGTTGCTATTCAACATTTAACATAAATGTAAAGACAAAAAAGATACATCAATAATAAGGAGGTTATATCATCATGTTAAATATTTTCCAAAACAATGTAAACCACCAATAATTAACTGATAAACAATAGTTGAAATCATGAGTCAATTGAAGCTAGACCACAATGGAAAATTTGGAAGCACTGAACGGTCGTTTATTATCTCGTGTACTGTGTTGGAAATTTAGGTAACTAGATTTAGTTGACAGAAAAACCCAGATCTAGTATTCCCGCTAGCTGACAGTCGTGCGCAAGACCTACTAGCAACATTCAGGCGACTGAATCACTGTGAATTTTGTTGAAGAAAGTAAAAAAAATCTCTGAAACTAATAAATGATAAGAACATTTACATATGAAAATTAGACAGATGTTTATATACTGACATCAATATTGTTATTACTTTTGATCACATTACCAATTTAATTTGTCAAAATTGATAGATCAACTGCCAAGAAATTACAGCTAATCACTGATAATATCAAGGGTTTCCTACCTCCTAATTCCTATTGCTTGACATTAATGCAATTCAAAAATAAGCATTTATTATGGTTAAGTATGAAAAAAAGTGGATTAAATTTGATTTCAATGAAGATAAATCAAATTATAGAGGATCTTTAATCTAATAACAACATAATTAAGACTAATTTTTTCAAATAGAAAAGATCTTGACTAGTAAAGACTGTAAACATTTTCGATTAATGTAATATACACCATACAAGTTAAACAAACTAATAAGGTTTTGAAGTTTAAGGTTATAGGTACTAAACTCAAATCTCATTGTGGATAACAACATCAAGATGCAAGTATTTCAAGATAGTAAAATAAATTAATGTATTTTATCTAATATCACGAATTTATTGATTTCTATAGAAAACATACCTCTTGATTCATGAAATTGTAATGCTGTTGCAGCATCTGCACCAAGAGAAAAATAATTATTGAAAACTTTCAAGGGTAATGTATCAGAAATTGGTCTATTTCTTGTGGAATCATCATCTTCATAGTCGGTTAGTTGTTGAATTGTTTGAAAATCTGTTTGTACTTCACTATTTACTTGCCATCTGTAGTATAAAAAAATGCGAAATCGGAATGATTAAATAAATATATCTAGCTGAAGTATAAATGAAGTGATATGATACTTAAAAATGTGGCAAAAAATGTATACACATCGAATTTGTGTAGGTCTCAAAAAATACAAAAGGAAAAGCAAGATTATCCGATACAACAAAACATTCACCAATCGAATCACACTTGATGGAGAAGATTTGTGGATGTATAAACCGCTACATATCTGGGCAACATCATTGATGAACACGGTAGATCTGATACAGTTGTGAAGGCATGGATCGGCAAAGTAAGAGCAGCATATCTACAATTGAATAACATCTGGAACTCAAACAGCAATCTGTCAACCAACATCAAAGTCGGAATTTTCAACACAATGTCAAGACAGTTCTACTGTATGGGGAGGAAACTTGGACAACTACGAAAGCCATGATCCACAAGATACAAGTGTTTAGTAACAGTTAGCTATGCAAAATACTTTGGATCCGTTGGCTAGACATTATCAGCAACAACCTAGTGTGGGAGAGAACAAACGAGATTCCAGTGGAGGAAGAAATCAAGGAGAAACGCTGTAAGTGGATAGGACACAGATTGAGGAAAGCACCCAACTGCATCACAAGACAAGCCCTGACTTGGAATTCTCAAGGAAAAAGGAGAAGTGGAAGACCAAAGAATACATTACGTCGATAAATGGAGACAGACATGGGAAGAATGAACAAGGATAGTATAGAATTAGAAAGGAAGGTCCAGAACAGAGTGTGTTGGAGAATGCTGATCGGCAGCCTATGCTCGATTGGGGGTAACAGGCGTAAGGAAATCAAATTTGTATGAAATGTGTTATAGATTATTCCCATTGTTGTAAACAGTTTGTAAGTTATTTTATGTTTAAATAATATCTATAAAACGATTAATGTAAACTAACAAATGAGTACTATTTATAATCATATGTATCGGATATGCACAGTAGATAGTAATTCAAATAATCAGTAGCAATATAAAATCTTCTAGCGATACTATAAGTTGTGAATGAAATAATGAAATAAAAGATAGTAAGCCTTGGAATTTTGCTCGGTATTCATTTATCCATTCATATGAATAAACATACTCTACAGTAAACGTTACACTATGAATTAACCTTTTTAATAGGACTCCACTTCTGCCCAATTTTTATTAGTGATTTGGGTAAGATCAATCAGTGATGTAAACCGTCCAGTGCTTTCAGGTCTTCAATATTGGTCTAACATTGATCCATTCATGATCTTAATCAAAACTCAATAATCTCCAAACCCCTATACTGATAACTATCATGTGCCCACTAGTGACTAGCTTCAAGATGGATTTCCTGGAGTTCTAGTGATAAACCGTGACCAGTTGAGTCCAACCATGTCTGTTGTGAGTACTTGTTCACCGAAAACAATGTAGATCGATTGCGCAATATCGCTGATTGGTTGAAGTTAGACATTAACACTGTCGGATACCGGTTCAGAGGTCTAAAGGTTAAGCTCTCTCAAATGCAAAATCATTAGAATCACTCTGAAGACATTCAGTGGTATAATTTTAGGGTTCAGTTCCAGTTCAAACAAGCACGAGTTCTCAATAATATCAATAGATTATCATTTTTCTATAACACAGATTTATTGAAGTTTAAATTGTACTATTTGGCATTAACCCTACGTCTCAAAAGGCTAATGTAAGCAAACAAAATACTGATTTTGAGTCCCCATCTGTACATCAGCATTGAGATCCAAATAAATCTATGTCGAATGTCCGAATAGGATGAAATATAAATTCAAGATTCTACTGATTACTATTTCTTATTTCTTAATCAGATGTGCATGTTTTTCAACAAATATTTAGATAAACTATTTATACAACTTTTTGATGGAGATCATGAACCGATTGATATTAGACCACAATTAAAAACCTGGAAGTACTGGACGACCGTTTCGTTTTATTGTGGGACTGCTCAGTAGTGCGCATCCATGATTCCGCCTCATGGGATTCAAACCCGGGCCTTCCGTCTTGCACGCGAACGCTTAACCTACTGGACAACTGAGTTGGCATTCAATCGTGTTAATGCCTGAACTCAACCAACCCACAAAGTTGCGCGACCTTCTTTCATTGTACTGAGGTAGATACCTGTCTCTACCCGACACGGACTAGCTCCACTGGTCACGGCTTCTCACTAGAACTCCGTTAATTTCCTCACGAAGTTAGTCACTAGTGAGCACATGGTAATTATCAGTCCAGAAGTTGTGGAGATTGTTTAGTTTTTGATTGAGATCCAGTAGGTTAAGCGTTCACGCGCGAGACTGAAGGTCATGGGTTCAAGTCCCGCGAGCGGATCGAAATAGGGCTGAACGGCCGTCCAGTACTTCCACGTTTTCAATAGTGGTCAAACATCAATCGGTTCATGATCTCAATCAAAAACTTAACAATCTCCACAACCCCTTAACTGATATTTATACAATTCATTGATTAACTGTAAAAAGTCGAATTTGTCATAAGGTGTAACTTTAAAAACTTATTAATTTATCATCGATTTTAATGAAAACCTCAACTTAGTTGTGTTGTAGTACTAACGTATACACATATATTCATGGAGTTGTTTCCAAAATGACTGATATTTACAAAATTGTATGTAACTTGTAACGATGACTAATTTATTATGTTTCTTTAAGTTTTTGAATAAGACATTACTTTTGTAACTATGCCTAGTGATATCAGTTTTGAAATTTTGATCTCAATTTCTGCTTATCATTCAGTAAGTTGAACATTGATATATCAACCATATTATTACAAGTTTAAATTCTTTTATATTTGATTTCAATACAGTAACAAGATAGTACGAGTGATCTATTACAGTGTAATCACATTATAAGAATTTTTGAATTAATTGAAGCTAGACCACCATGGAAAACCTGGAATTACTGGATGGTTGTTTTATCCTAGTATGCCACTCCTCATCAGTGCACACCGACGATCCTATCACGCAAAATTCGAGCCCAAGATCTATCAGTCTTGCGCGTGAACGTTTAACTTTTAGATCGCTAAGAAATGTTTATACACAATAAGTAATTGATTAACTAATCTTAAATACAGTTTCATTGATACAAACCTGATTGTCAATTAATGTAAATTGATCATAATAAAAAGAATTTATTCAAAGAACATTTAATTTTATCCCTAGTGTATATTAAACTATTTTTATCTACTGACTTTATATTCTTACATTCATCACGTTATTCACCGTTTCTGGTATAGAAAGAAAAAAATCTAGTTCTCCGCAGTTATAATAAACATCATTCATAATCCCTATACAATATTTATGAGGCCTAATAGAATATGAGAAAATTATCTAATATACAAATTGTAATAAAATTCAAGTTATAACACAAGTAATATAATATTGAAGTTAGGTAGCTGAAATTAATTAATAAGAAACTCAGATCTATGAAGCAAAGATGAGTAGTGGCTAGCAGTGGAACGCAGGACGCGCGTTTCGTCCTATTTAGGACTCGTCAACTGGATATACTTGCATCTCAAAGAGTTGATGTTCACTCTGCATCCCTGCAATTTTAAATAACAATTGGAAGGTACAAGTAAACAACACAAAGTGAATTCAGATGTGTTAGTATGATGTTAGTTGGCACTGGTCAATAACCTATAGATTTAACAATGAGGTAGTAAATTAATTTCATTTAATTACAGGCTGAAAAAATTACCGATGTCAACGGATCTATTAGGGTGAAACAAATTGTCATTATAACTAATTATAGTAGTATTATTATTTACTAGCTTGTATAATTTTCTGGTTATCATTTCTATTTTAGTGTATACTACTTACGCTGATACAATATAAATAGTATGTAGCACCAATTGAAATTGGTATGTCTATCAATAGAAGATTAAATTGAAGAGAACAAAAATGGAAATAAAGAGTAATTAGAATAATAATAGAATTGATAGAATCATAATAAATGCAATGAGCAACTGAAGGGGAGATGTGTAGATAACGTATTTGATGTATAATTTTCATATTTAATGAAGACATAATATAAATTTCCGAAAAAATTGGTTTTACCCCCTAAGTCCTCGTTCACTGTACTATGATTAGTAATAATAATAATAATAGAGATGGTTACAAGTCTATCCAGTAATCATTATTATTAAATTACAATAATTATATTATTGTCAATGATATGATGAGAAATGAAAAGAGAACGGAACTAGTTAAATGATGCATAAGACTTATATAAAATATAAATTAATATAATCAATTGTAAAATACTATTAGATTAAACATATTACTTACTTACTTACGCCTGTTACTCCCGATGGAGCATAGGCCATTGAGGGCCCGGAGCAACCTCTGGGGCTACTGCCAGTCCCAAGCCCAAATAAAGGAGGAGTGTTGGGCATGGGGTTAGCGACCCCATCCCATAGAAAACTAAGTCGCTAGAAAAAACAATACTAACCAGAAAAATAATTTAAACCATTTAAACTCTGTCCTATGAGTTAGAAGGTCTTCATTTAAAAGAGTTATGATGCCTCATAGTGAAAACCGAGTTCCCTCAGAAGTCACGAAACTAATGCCTCTTCTGACAACCAGAGTAACTAAACAGTATATACACCTGAATTTCTTAATTAAAAAGTACTAATGGAGTATATTAGTAGTAAATTCATTTCCCCCAACAAAAAATACATGCATTAACTAGAACTGTAAAACTATTAATAAGTAATGATCATATATAAATAAGGAAAAGAAGCAATCGTGATTTGCAATTAAGGGTGGGTGAACATATACCAAAATGGTTGCAAAATCAGATGAATTCCAATGGTGAAATAAGACCACAGGATAGACAGACATCATCATCCATTGCGAAACATTTGATTGAGACGGGTCATAAGGTTGATATCAATCATCATTTGTTGTGTTGTACAAAAGCCTTCAAGGACGTATACTAAGGTTTATTGAAGCCTTGGCTATACGAAAATTGAAACCCCCTTTATGTGTTCAAAAATAATTTGTACTTACACTTAACTACCCTGGTAGTACTGATTTACTGTCCAGAGTGGTAATCACATTTGTTTTTGGTGTACTTTAATATTTTTTCCTTTGTTATGACTTACCCTTAACCTGTCTAGTTGACCTTTTAATTTTTCATATATAAATGTTCTTAACAAGTATATGTGTGATCAGATTGTTCGAAATGTATTGCGCAAATATATCACATAATTCTGATAAACTACGTCTTCTCATTGCATTATCGAAATTTATCAAAGGACTAATTGTTTTAAATTTCTGAAAAGATGATACTTACCTGTCTAACGCAATAACACGACCTTCATAAACGGAGTTTAATATTTTCGATACAGATTCATCATATAACCCTGTAAGAAATAGTGATTAGTTTTAGTTTTAAGGAAATATATATATAAAAATTATCTTCAACAATGTAGAAAAGAAGGAAGCCCACCACTATTCGGTAGGTTTCTGTTTTCCATGAGTACAACTTGAAATGATGATTCTCTCTTGATCGAATGATTTTAGTTTACAGATTGTTCAATTATGCAATTACTTATGCATCCATTTTCGCTGACTATTATTAATGCTATTTTATGCTCTTTAATTTCCTAGGATAGAGAATATACCAAATGATCCGTATACGTAGCTTGACAGCGGTAGATGAACTGACGAGACGAGACAGCTAAATGCTTGTCAACATAAACATATGTCAACATAAACACTTAGTTTAAGAGTGTTATTTTGAACGTGTTTGAAATCCTTCTCATCAATATTATAATAACCACAGGCCATTCACATTTGAAATCAATGTTCATGTAAACCAATTACATTAGTATTGTGATTATTCATATATTTGTAGACCTGAGCTTTATACTATTATTGACATATCTATTTGTAATGAGTAATTTCATTGAAACGGTTTAATTCTTCCCTTATCATTATTATCGAGACTATAAATCCATCAGATTAGTGAACGGTAACGTATAACTAACAAACAATTGACAGACATTATAATTTATCTTTCAAAGATATAACAACCATTTAGTAATTCATAACTTCAATCTATTTAAATATATCAATATCTTTATATATCTATCAATATAGTAACTTAAACGTTGTTAAAAATGCCATAAACCATTTGTAAACTATTTTTTTAATTTGTTATCTTGATTATGTAAAATAATTGTTGCTGTCAAACCAAAGACTTATATTTTCCAATGGTTAAGATCATGAGTCAATTGAAGCTAGATCACCATGGAAAACCTGGAAGCGTTGGACGACCGTTTCGTCCTATTGTGGGACTCCTCAGAAGTGCGCACCCACGATCCCACCTCGCGAGATTCGAACCCATTTTTTAAAATTTCTTTTAAAGGTAACTGAGACTTACTTGTGACAGCGTGACAGCAATGTATATATGTATATACATATATATACATATATGCCTACATAATCAAATTATTAACCAAATTATTAAACATCATTCAACTAGCTCATGTCAAAGAAGTAGCTAACTGAACACAGAAAAAGCAAGAGATTTTTCGTAGGAATTAAACTCATTGTCTTATATAATTAGAACGAATAGTTTGATAGAAAATGGATTCTGAGTATTGAGGAGTCATTAAATGTGAAATTATATTTCAGATAATCTCAGTGATTGAAATTTAAAATTATTCCAATGTTTCGTCCAGCAAACCTATCTGAACTTCTTTAGGGTACCCGGAGATTAATATAATATCTTATGTGATGTTTTATTTCAGAGTAAAATTTTCGGTGGTCTAACATCAATTGGTTCATGATCTCATTCAAAAGCTTAATAATCTCCACAACCCCATACTAATAATTACCATGTGCTCACAAGTGACTAACTTCGTGAGGGAATTTTCGGAGTTCTAGTAAGAAGTCGTGACCAGTGGAGCTAATCCGTGTCGAGTAGAGACAGATATCTACTTCAGTACAATGGGAGATGGTCATGCAATTTCGTGGATTGGTTGAGGTTAGACATTAACACCACCGGATCCTAGTTGGCTCAATGATCTAAAGGTTAAGCGTTAGCACGCAAAACCGAAAGCCTCAAGTTTGAATCCCGCAAGGCGGGATCGTGGATGCGCACTACTGAGCAGTCCCACAATACGACGAAACGGTTGTCCAGTACTTTCAGGTTTTCAATAATGGTCTAATATCAATCGGTTCATGATCTCAATCAACAAATAAAATTTTTGGTATTCATTTTTGTTACGCACTACTCTTTATTCTAACTATAAATCCATTTTCCGAAAGAAAGAAAAAACTAATAAAATTGATACAGTGACAACTGAAGTGGGAAAAAATGCCTTAAAGGAAAAAAAACTAGATATTTTTTGTATGTTGATTATGTGTAGTTCAGTTAGATGATTTTTTGATAAATTACATTTCCTTTGTTTTTAATCATACAAAGCATCACGTGAATAACAAAAAAAAATGAAATTTATGTACTAATCTGTTATATCCGGATGAAGAATAAAGGAATGGTTAGTACTAGAATCTATTTATGGACCGTTATTGGATATATAGGCTTATTGTATAACTATGAAGTAACTATATTATATGCATATTCATTTTCTTTTTATTATTGGCTTCTATTTGATCTATTGACTACTATTATAAAATGAAATATTCAGAAGTTGTCCTAAACTATTAGTTACAATCTTTCAAATTCACAGCCACTTTTAACTTGATCTTGTATAATTGTTATTTTCTATTTATCGTATGATGTAGTCCGGTTTGTTTGTATATAAACTAAATATGTCTGAAATATAAGATTCATTCGATGAAAGCTGAGGTGTGTTTTATGTCAGTTAGTCAGCTACAACGTAGGACTAAGCACTTATATGCATCGGTTCAAGTTGCCATACCTCATTACCACAACAAGATCAACACCAAATTCATAGAAGTAGTTAATTCAATGGTGGTAATATATAGAAGAAAGACTGCACATAGGGATATAGTATAGGAAAAAAGAATTAGTACGTAGAAAGAAAGATATGAATCGATTTTAATCCCATTGTTTAAGGGAAGACAGAGAGCGTATACACCTACACCATTGTGATCGATTCTGAGCCATGTCACTCAGAGTTTCCAACTATTGATTACGATAGTCACGCGGACCCCAACCAAGTATTCTGCATCTACCAACATGGCTCAGACTAGAATTCAGTGACTTCAAGGACTGATTCCACGTTTTGGCTAATTTGGCCATTCCTTCCCTAACATTAGACAGCATTGCTTGTCGTGGCAATCGGTGTTCAGGTATACGTAAAACGTGGCTCAACCATCTCAGTCGATGAAGATTCACAACCTCAACTGTGTAATCTGTACTCAAACGAACAGGGTTAAACAAGAAAAATCATTGAGTACTCAGAGTTGACTCTAGGCTACTTGTACAAGTTAACAGTAACGTCATACAAGTTAGTGTTCTGATTTTCTATCTTGCCATGTGAGAATTAACAAGGTATAGAAACACAACATAATCAAAATGAAAACAAAGTTTTTTTTCATTTCGTTCATCATTATTGAAAACAAAATCATTTTATCTTATTTGATAAATTTGTTAGTTACTTCAAAATATGTCATCAGATTTAATTAGATTTTACTATAGTAACTTAGTAATAATGAGAGATAATTAAAATGAATATGAGAACAGTGAATAGACATTAATCTATCGAATTTTCTAATGATAACTTACTGAACCCCAATTTAATGCTCTAGCTAAATCATTTCCAGTACCTATTGGTAATACAGCAACTGGTGGTATTGTATTAAAATTCATTGAATCAATAGTAGAAAATATCCAACCAACTGTACCATCACCACCACATACTAGGATACGTAGATTTGGTACACGATTGAACAATTCTAAACTATAAAAAAATGAAATGAAATAATAGTAGATTTAATGAATTAAACAGAAATAATATCAATAGTTGAAATCATGATTCAAATGAAGCTAGATCACCATGAAAAACCTGGAAGCACTGGACAGCCGTTACGTCCTATTATGGGACTGCTCATAATTACGCATCCACGATCCTGTCCCCGGTGGGATTCAAATTCAGGACCTAACTGCCTCGCGCGCTAGCGCTTAACAAAAACTTATTCATTTCTATGTGATATAAAGAGGTATGAATCGGCATATATACAATGAGATCATTCGCATATATCACAAAAGTGTTTTTTGTGGAAGATGGCAGATCATATATATATATATATATATATATATATATATATATATATATATATATATATATATAAACATATGTATGCACAAATTAATATCCCTTTCTAGCATATGTAAGCATTACTTGCCAATACATTAGAAAATTTATTTGTTTTAATGAACTTCATTAAAGAAGTATGAACTAACTATAAGAAAGATAATTCACAAGCATTGTAAACAAAGATGGATAGTGGTGGCTAGCAGTGGAATCCAAGACATGCGTTTCGTCCTATTTGAGACTCATCAGTTAAATATACCTACATTTCAGAGTTGATATTCATTCTAGGACTTGAACCAAGTACTGTTCGCTTCAAACGCCATTACATTATCCACTTAGCTACTGAATCCTGATAGGCATTTGATTTTGCAATCATGTAAAGTTTAAATTCACTTGATATTGTTTATTTGTTTGTTTGAATCTTCCTATCAATGATTAACACTACAATTGATCAATCTCTTATTGGTATATATGTGCATATTATACTTATTGCCTTAATTCACAATTACAGTCTTAATCATCAATAGGAAGATTCAAGTAAAAATAATACCAAGTGAATTGATAAGAAATTAATGTTAGATATTGTTTCTTTGTTTCCAATACAAAAAAAGAGAAGGTAATCCCAAATTGATTGATTCATTATAAAATGAATTTACCCCATTTTTGGTCCACCTTTAGATAAATCAAATACTTGACGTGGATTTAATAACCATTGAAATTTTTTTAATAAATTTATACCTTGATTACCACCAGATTTTGGATTAAGAAATACTAATAATGGTTTTAAAGAAACATTATTGATTGGATTTGTTTTAATCACAAATGATAGATTCAATTGAATATCAATCATATTTGATTGACTCATTGAAATAGATTGTTTATTATTATTATTATCATCATCATCATTTGTTATTATGGATGTCATGGAAGTTAATTGTTCTGATATATTCTGAATTAATTGATTTGAATCATTCAGATTATCTGGACGAGAATATGAAGAATGTAGTGAAGATGAATTTAATTTATAATTTGTTAAACATGAAGGTGTAACAAAACTATTTGATCGATATATTGATATAGATGTTAATGGTGTTGATGTTGATGATGATGGGGAGGAGGATAATTTGTGATTATTCTTGAAAATAAATATAAATTATTAAGAGTATAGTGATGATAAGGAATAATAAAGAAAATATAGGAATATAAAATTATTTCAATAGTTGAAATCATGAGTCAATTGAAGTTAGATTACCATGGAAAACCTGGAAGCACTATATGACTGTTTCGTCCTAGTATAGGACTCCTTCTTGGCAATGCGCATCCACGATCCCACCTCACGAGATTCGAACCCATGACCTATCAGTCTCGCACGCGAGCGCTTAACCATTAGACCACTGAGTCGGCTGGCATCCATTGGTCTTAATGTTTAACTTCAACCAATCCACGAAATTATACTACAGTACACCATTGTCTTCAGTGATTTGAAATCTCATAACACACCTGGTTGAACTCCACTCCTTCTCACTAGAACTGCAGGACATGCCTCTTGAAGAATTTATACTGTAATACGACTAGTTATGATTAGTTCATGATTTTTGCTAGGTTTGAAGCTATCACGAGTTCACTTAATCTGCGAACGAGAACAAGACTCGGTGACCAAAGACCAGTAATCTAGCTACTGATGCGTCCTAGCCCCGACAACTAGGAGGAGAAATTCAAGCTGAGAATGGGGAAGTATATACTGCAAAACAGCCAGAAACGAGCGATCACAACAAACACACCTCAAAACGTATATATACAGTACAAAACCGTCCTTGGGGAGAGTTACCAAATAGCATACTAAAAGACGCAACGGACCAATAGCATTTAAGATATTTCCCAGTGGGAAATACGACATGGAGGTGACAAGAGCACCTTTGGCGCGAAAACGAAGAAATTCAAATTTTCTAAATAAAATTACAAAATTAGGTTCTTTCCTAGGTGAGTTCTGGGGATCTAACGTCCCCAAAATTTCTAGCTATGAAAATTCTGTAAGACTATAATGTATGCAAACACCAGTCAGGTATAAGATAACAGCTCTCGAATTTCGGCGCGAAATTCACTCGTCCATTTGGATGAAAGAGTTTTGGTATTATAGCTGATGTTAGTTCGTGATGAAAACTCTAAATCTAATTTCTAACCTTAACCATCATAATTCAAAGTTCTCACACAGGTTCATAACCCTCATTTGGTCCTAGTTATTAGATTGACGTCCATACATTATAGTCTCACCGAAAATTCTATAAGCTCTCTATTCTATACGAATGTATGTTTGTTAAATGGCTGAAATGATATTTAACAAGGCATTATGCAGAAGTGATAACTAAGTTATTTTAAGGAAGATGATATTCATTTCACCATTGAAAATACACCTTAGAACATCGCTTAAACGACATAAATAATAATGAACCTTATTATTTGTATTCATTAACAGAAAAAAAAACTAATTTGTGTATTGATTCGATTTGGTGGTTATTGATAAATGATGAACATTAATTGATCTAAACTTTGTATCAATATACACTCATCAATGTCATGAATAAACTGACACTCATTGCAGAATTCCAAGATACGTTATCTATCATCTCGTCTAAATACAATAATAGTCAGTTATCTATGTTATAGACAACTTTCTCAATGTAATATTCAAAACAAAATCATAATATCAGAAATGTTTTGCACCTCAAAGATACTTATAAATAAATATATATCAATGAATGTGTATGTCATTTAATGTATTTATTATCAGTATAGGATTGTGGAGATTAGTAAGTTTTTTGATTAAGATCATGAATTGATTGATGTTAGATCATCATTGAAAACCTGGAAGCACTGGACGGCCATTTCGTCCTATTATAGGACTCCTAATTAGTGCACCTCCACTATCCCGCTCGTAGGATTAATTGAATGATGTAGATACCTTAGTCAACTGTTACAATTGAAGCTATTAGGTCTAATTTTTAAGAAAAAAAAAACGTTTGAGCAATGATTCCCATAAATGTCATAATCATTTTCATAATGAAATCTAGTAAATAAGAAGATAATCCTTAAATTCTATCTGCTAATTAAAGAACAACTTAATCAGTTTAGATATATTGCCAACATTCTTATGGGTAGAAAATTAAATTTATGATGTTTCTTGTCTTAGTGTAAACCGCTTCTTCACAGGATAAATAAAAATAAATGAATTAAATTAATACAAGTTTAAATAGTACAAATTCCGTTTATAGCTTTTAGCGGCCTAGTATCTGGTTCCAGTTACATTGTAACCTGATTATTATCAAAATATACATGACACCAATTCTCGTCTATTTTCATCAACTTAAATCACATTATTGAATAACAAAAGTTAAATAGGTACGTATGATTTGTACAAACACTGATCTCAATAGGCAATCATAGAAACGAAAACGAGAGAAAGAAGCAAAACGGATTGAAAAAGGCATGTGAGCCAACTCAATTTAATCAAGCGTGACTCAATATTTGTAGTCAAACAAAAATAAGTTAAACACGTGATGAATAGGACAAGTAGTGTTTATATAAAAACAGTCAAAATTAATAAGTGAATACGTGACAAGGTCACAATGTAGTTTTGGAAAAATGTGTCCAGAAACTAGAATAACCTATATGGGACTTAACATAGAACTAGACAGTACAAACTCTACTAGGGTTACTACCGTTTCCACGCCTTGGTAAAGGAGGTGTTTTAGGTATCCGGTCAGCAACCCATCCCAGGTCCTTCTGTTTTGTGCGCGAATGCTTAACTTTCAAACCACTGAGTCAGTATCCAACGTTGTTATTATTTAACTTCATTCGATTCATGATCTTGCTCAACTCTTCATTCATTGTCTGAGGTAAATAACTATCTTATACTCAATACGGACTGTACTCCACAAGTCACAGCTCATAGTTATCTAAATATATTTATAGAATATAATAAATCGATTTCTAAGGGCTGCAATTAAACGCAACTCGATCTCGTAAACGTGGCTGCCTGCTTAGCGACCAATCAGAATGAGGCAGGAATTATTACATCCGCCATCTTTGTAAGCAATGGTGCTCGGCTTTCCTCATTTTGTGTTTTTTCAGCTATTTCTTTTGTGTAGCTGCATAATTTAATGTTTCAGTGTACTAAAACGCCGCAGTTATTGTAATATTCTAAATGTTGTCGCAAAATTTCTTAGATTCAACATTGTTTTCTGGGTTTTTGCTGCTGCTACTCAAGTCGATTTACTTCATCAGGCAAGCTGGCTAGTCTTATATTATAAAATGTTAATCCGTTTTGCTTTGTGTATTTTTTTTCAGATATGGAGAACCGAAGTTAGTTTCTTTTTTTTTTAGCTAAAATAGGTGTTGATGCCTCATGGGACTCTAACTGTCTGATTATTTAATAAAAAATACATTATGAAATAACAAGATCTATGATTACATAAACGCAGACATGACCGTTATTACACTGGGCGATACATTAGGTTTACATGGAAACGTTGCGAATAAATTCACCCTTTCTAAGTGTTTACTAAAAAAAATATTGATTAATCACAATATTTCTTGAATAGTTTATTGTTTCTTGATAATTTTTTGTAAAAAACAAAAATTAAAATCAATAATTTTCAGTTCTGTTTGAGTTACATTAAACTGTAGAAATCAATTTTAATACATTTACTAGTATCATTTGCATGTTAACAGTTAGTTACATAATCAAGAAAATTATGTTAGTTACAGTTAAAATATGCGAAATAATGTCGATTGTTTTTTTGTTTTTAGATATTTAAAAAACACACGAAACAACATGAAACTTATTAGAAACTTATTGGCTAATTTTAGCGAGATCATGGATGTGCATTGCTGAGGAGTCCCACAATAGGACGAAGTGACAATCCAGCGCTTCCAGGTTCTCAATGGTGGTTTAGTTTCAATTGACTCATGATTTCGAATATTGTAATTTTAGCTTGTTCATTATGTAATCGTATCTAATTATATTCATTTTCTAATCACTGAAAAGTCATTTTTATTGATAAGCTGATATTTTTAGTCCATTATAAAAAACATACTAGATATTATATACTGTTTCTATGACAAGAAAAAGTAATAATTAACGATTTAATACAAGTGTTGTGTATGCTACTTATATTGACAGATATAAGTAGTACACAATACGAATTGGAAGTGAAAAGCTATGAAGGTTGATTTGAATAAAAAATAGAAACGAAATTAGAAAAGAATCATACAAAATCTGAAAGACAAATGATGGAAATTTGTAAATGAAGCATTCAAAGTATTCTTCTCATATTTTACTAACAGATTATATAATTTTGTATTAAGGTACAATGAATTAATTTCTTGCTCGCAACATATGTAGCGGATATTTAAGTGAGAAAAATGAGTAAAATTATCTTCAGTAACAAAATCTTATGAGATCTTTGATATGAAATGTAATGACATCGTTACATTTCCCTCACCCCATATTATTGATATTTATTTCGATGATTCATTGCACAATTTCATTGAACAATTAAACTTAACTATTTCAATGTTAATATGTTCCAATAGTTGAGATCATGAGTCAATTGAAGCTGGATCATCACGGAAAACCTAGAAACATTGAACGGCCGTTTCGTCCTATTGTGGGACTCCTCAACAGTGCGTATCCACAACCCCACTTCGTGGGATTCGAGCCCAGGACCTATTTATGTTTGTATTTTACAAACAATTACAAATATACATGCTATGATTTTCAACGATCTATGCATGTTCCATGTAATTATTCTCATTCAGATTACTAATTATATTCTTTTATAAATTACAAGAACCTGTTGAGCATTAATTGGAATGATTATAATTCGTTTATAATAAATATAGTTTATGTTATATCTCAATGAGTAGAAAAATTGTATTTCTGATGTTTCGTGATTTAGTATGAATCCCTTATTCAGTGTAAATGAATAATTAATGATAAGTCGTGTAAATTGAACGCTATATACGAATCCTAAGCTATTCCCGTAACCCGCAGACTAGAACTACACGGCAACTTGAACTCCAGAGAGAAGACACTAGTAGGAGAGAAAACACTTTATTCCCAGGTTCATTCTAGTACAGAAAATCAAGGGTATTTATAGATGTTGGCGTCTGTTAAATCAACATCTTATTTCAACCAATCCGTTAACGTCATATTATGCTACCGACTAATGGTAGCACGCCACGCTGGAATTCTCGAACGTTCCATCATACTCTGATTGCTGGGACCCTTTCGCTCCTTTTTGGGCCTCTGGAGGCTCCGTTGAAGTTCTCCGGAAGCCGACCCAACAATTAACTTTTTATACAATGTTCAATTTATTTGAAACTATCAAGTCTAGGCTTATCATCGATATCTCATAAATTCTTCGTTCAAATTGTACTAAACGAGAACACACGTGGGGACAATCGGATGGATTTGGATACAAAATTATAGAACGTCTAAGTAAAATCTGAGAACTATTCAGTAAATATTTCATATGCAAAAATGTTATTCCATTGTTTCAGACTCCATTTTTCTTTAGTTTCTACACCAATCATTCTTTGTTCTCTTTCTCTTTTTTTCAATTTTCTTAACTTTCTTCCGTCAAGCATTTTACCTTCGATCGATGATATATACTACTTATATCTGTAGAGATCAGTAGCACATACCATAATATTATCTCTGTTTTAAAGTGATAATTCATCAATAAGACATATATCAATACCAGAACTATCAGTTTTTTTGTAATCAATACGTGTACACTACTAAAATGTACATGTACAGAGAATAACTGTATTTTATCTTAATACTTTTTAAGGTAAAACAGGTTACTTTTCTAGATATGATTTATCAACAAAAAATAGAAACAAAGACAAAATATGTGAGAAGTCAAGTACTAATTTGCCGAGTTGATAAATCATATTAGTTTAGAAAAAATAAACGTTATCTCACCGGTTGAAATCATGAGTCAATTGAAGTTAGACCACCATGGAAAACTTGGAAGCACTGGACAGCCGTTTCGTCCTAGTATGGGACTCCTCAGCAGTGCTCATCCACAGCGGCGCGACTTCGTGGATTGGCTGAAGTTAGACGTTAACACCGTTGGATGCCGGCTCACTGTTCTAGTTGGTTAAATGCCTGGCGCGAGACTGATAGGTCCTGGGTTCGAATCTCGCGGGGGGCAGGATCGTGGATGCACGCTGCTGAGAAGTCCCATACTAGGACGAAACGGTCGTCCAGTGCTTCCAGGTTTTCAATGGTGATCTAACTTCAATCTACTCATGATTTCAACCAGTGAAATTTCTAAAAAAACTCCACAAAACTCATTCTGATAATAAACGTTATAATTAGTCTATGGGTTATTTTTTATATGAAAGTAAATTACCAAAGGCAATGACCATGAACGTATATCAATAGAAATAAAAGCTAACTGTTTATTCTTCATAAGTTAATTTAATTTTAATTGCTTCTATATAACCTAGCTTACTTCGATTGGTAATGTCATCTAGTGTAGGAGTAGGAGTAAGCTGAAAGAAAACTAATGGTGGTCAAAACCAAAACATGGAATCAGTTCATGAAGTCATTGACAATTGGATTGAGCCATGCTAATAGGTGTAGACTAATTGATTGAACAAACAAGTCAACCATGAGAATCGTACAGTTGAACTGGTAAGTTATAAGGTAAGAAACTATTAGTGTGTTACTTCACATCTCATTAATTGAAGTGCGTTTTATGAAAAATGTACTGCTATCATAACTACCATTGATATTGTTAGAGTTAGTTATTATCTCCAGTAACTAGAAAAAATTCTGAGACAGTTCAGACTGCCTAGAGACTGGAAAGACGCTATAATAAGTCCGGTGCATAAGGCTGGGAGTAGGGATTTAGTTAGTAACTATAAACCCGTTAGCTTAACTAGTGCGGTTGTAAAACTGATGGAAAAAATCATTCGGATATCTGTCATAAACTATGTTGAAGGGTATAATCTTTTCTCCAGGGAACAACATGGTTTTCAGAGAGGCCTATCATGCTTGGCAAATCTTCTCATTGCAAGAGAAGATTGGGCTGCGGCAAAAGATCGGAATATTCCTGTAGATGTAATCTTCATAGATCTAAGTAAAGCCTTTGATAAGGTTTCCCACTCTGGTCTCAAATTCAAACTGAAACGTTTTGGAATCCATTATACAGTAGTAGATTGGATAAGTAACTTTCGCCATGATAGGAGACAAAGGGTAAAGGTTAATGGATCTCTCTCCTTGTGGGTACCTGTAAAAAGTGGAGTTCCCCAAGGTACAATCCTCGGTCCTCTCCTCTTCTTACTTTATGTAAATGAATTACCAACTGCGGCAAAATCATCCGTTCTACGCATCACTGATGACATAAAATTTTTGAAGTAAATCCTAATAATAGTGTGGTGATGCAATTAAATAACCATGATGAATCGTATCACTATACAATATGTGGATTCGTGCTACCTAAAGTAAAGAACTATAAAGATTTAGGAGTCATATTAGGCAGTGATCTTAAAACCATTAGTCACTGTGAGGCTGCTGCTGCAAAAGGCTATAGGGTATTACGGTCTATTCTTAAGTCTTTCCAGTATTTAGATGATGAAATGTTTAAATTATTATACCCGATTCATGTGCGACCACATTTAGAATATGGGATTCAAGCAGCAAGACTTTGTTTTAAGTATGAAGCAGATATGCTGGGAAGAGTCCAACGACGAGGTACTAAGATGGTAAAAGGTCTATCTGACCTATCTTATGAAGACAGACTGAGACACCTTAACTTACTTCCGTTATCTTACCTTAGAATAAGGGGTGACCTAATATTGGCTTATCGTATACTGAAGGATGACCTTAATATTAATATGTCTTATCTTTTACTTCCGTCTAGGAGTGATCATTTGAGAGGACATTCGAAGAAAGTTCAAAAACCGAAATCAAATCATTTACGTCTGGAGTTTCGTTTCTCATACCGAGTAGGAAATTACTGGAATTCTCTATCGGAACGCGTAATATCAGCACCTTCTGTTCATATATTCAAAACGAGATAGGACCTCCAAAGTATTACAAACTGCAAGGATTAATATAGGTCGATAGACCTCCCATCCTTATTACTGAAGGCTGAAAACTAAAGAAGTTAGACATTAACACCATTGGATGCCGGCTCAGTGGTCTAATGGTTAAGTGCTCGCGCGCGAAGCAAGTGGGTCCTGGGTTCGAATCCCGCGGGGGGCGGGTTCGTGGATGCGCACTGCTGAGGAGTCCCATACTAGGACGAACCGGCCGTCCAGTGCTTCCAGGTTTCCCATGGTGGTCTAGCTTCAATTGGCTCATGATTTCAACTTGTAAAGACTATGTATTTTTCATTCCCATGGTTTATTTTATCATTATACTTATTTCACTTTGACACCCTACTCTAAATATTTATGAATGGTCTTTTTAGCTTACAAGTGACACATTTTTGAGATATTTATCCTGTAACAAAAGCAAAAGTTCACTTTTTTAAAATTACACTATCTAACTCACTAGCATGATTTATTCTGGCTTCACACGACAACTATCAAACCTGTTTACAAAGTTAATAAATACAGTTGTTTGCTCTAATTTTCTTTGTTTTCAAATTATCATAATCATGATATGACTGATCTACAAACGTGGAACGTAATACTTATTTCGATATAAGTAGTATATAACGATAGCCATGAATATAATATCTGGCAGTAGAAGCTCAAGACGATCGAAAAGGAAAGAATGAGAACATAAAGCAATTATTTTAAAAATGCGGGATCAATGAAGTCAACCAATTTTAAGACGACTGATAGACAATTCGCAAATTAAGTATTTACTGTATCGTTCTTAAATTTTACTAAGAGATTCTCTAATTTTATATTTGAATACATCGAATTGCTACCAGAAGGCGTTTTCGGGAATGTTATGGTGATTTTAATAGTTGAGATCACGAGTTAACTGAATCTAGACCACCATGGAAAACCTGGAAGCAACCATTAGATACCGGCTCAGTAGTCTAATGATTTAGCGATCACGCTCGAGACTGATAGATCCTGAGTTTAAAATCTCACGAGGTGAGGTCATGGATACTCACTATTGAGAAGTCCCACAACAGAACGAACGGTCGTCCAATGCTTCCAAGTTTCTCATAGTGGTCTAGCTACAATTCACTTATAATCTCAACTATTCAAAAAAGACATTCGATTGTCTTCAATTGTGTTCTCGTTTACTAAACAAATACTATTGACATATCAATTCCAGTTTTCATACTTTCACTTGTTATACAACATGGAGTTTTGAGATGGTGAAGATTTGTAGCTCAGGTAGATGATTTTAATGGAGTTTTGTCCTGTGAGCTAGAGAGAGAACAAAAACTCCATCAAAAACATGGAGTTTTGTTGTAACCAATTGATTATATTGTTTCTAGCATATAACTAATGAATATATATAAAATAAAAACTTACTCTTTCAGTTAATTTAATAATCCAATCAGGTGGAACAATTAAACATGAATATGGTCCTAATGAACATGGTTCAGTGAAATATGATTCACGAAAACAAGTTGATTTATTATGATAACCTATTTTACACCAAGTGCATTGAATCGTTATATATTCCTAATGAAATAAATTGAAAATGGATAAAAAAGAAAAAAAGGTAAATTTTACAAATGAAAAATTAAAAAAAACTTTTGTAAGCAATGATGGATAGTGGCCAGCAGTGGAATGCATGGATGCGCGTTTCGTTCTATTTGGGACTCGTCAGCTGGATGTACCTGGCATCTCAGAGTTGATGTTCACCCTGGGACTTGAACCCAGTACCATTCGCTTCAAACACCATCGCGTTATCCACTCATCTACTGAGTCCTGATAGCCACTTGCTTGTGCAATGGGTTGAAGTTTAATTCACTTAATATTGTTTGACTTGTATCTTCTCATTGAGGTTTGAGACTGCAACTGATCAGTCTGCTAGCCACTATCCATCATTGCTTACAAATAGCTTGTGAATTAAGGTAATATTGAGGCTTACGCACAGTATGCACATATGCCAATAACAGACTGATCAATTGCAGTCTTAAACCTCAATGGGAAGATACAAGCCAAACAATACCAAGTGAAAACAACTTTTGGTTTTTTAAATTTATATAGTAACATAAACCTTTCAAATGCTGATGAGTCCCATATTAGTATGAATTGGCTGTCCAGTACTTTCAGGTTTTCCATGGTGATCTAGCTTCTAGTGACTTATGATTTCAACTATTGAAATGAGAACATATAGATGATGAATTGTAATTCAGCTATATACTTTTGATATTGTTCAGTTCATTAGTTTAAATGACTTAATTAATGAGTCTCCACTGTTATTCTTAACAATATTATCGTTAATTAACTGATGTAAAAGTAAATTTCTTAGTTGTCTCAGAAATATCAAGTTAGTTTGTTGTAATGATGTATTTCGTGGCCGATTATCATCATAGTTTAGCTTACCTTCGATTGTTTTTTTTAATCAAAGTAGATTACCCTGTTCCATTTGTCAGTGACCATCATTTTGATTGATCTTTTCGTATGGTTTGTGTTGGGGACGATAGGTCCCCAAAACTCATATTTTGTGATTTTATCTTATTGATTAACTTATAGATTAAATGTTTAAATATTTGAATGGCAGTCAATTGATGAACCTATCGACTAAATCTTTAAATAGCAGTCAGCTGACGAACTTATCGATTTAATATTTGAATGGCTGTCGATTGATGAACTTATTGAATAATGTTTAAAAAATTTTTACCACGACAATATTGATTATAAATATTTGTATAAATATGCTTCATTTGTCTGCCTGATTGACCTGACCTGACCTGGTATCTGCTGGTTGCCTATAGAATACACTTCTACGTCTTACCAAGACTTCTTGATCGAGTTAGCTGAGTCGGGGACAACGGACCAGAATAGCCTATCGAGTCTCTGAATCATTGATCCTTCGTTCCGTTCCGAATAAGCCGAATCAGTAGTATCATTCAAGCTTAACGAACTTAACAGTTTGAATCTAATTAGATGTAAATACTGATTGCTAATTGATCCAGGTATTGTCTAGTTGCAGGGTTTTGACGTCTCAATTGAATTTATGTCTATAGTCATTTACATCAGTTGCCATAGGTGATAACATATCGTGTTGTTTCACCAACATATTTTATTCGTATACGCGTAAATAAACAGGTCATCTACTTTGTATAATGTAATGTTTACCATAGTTCACATAAGTTTTTTTGTAGGCTATTTTACATTTGTCTTCCTTTATTGTTGTGTCTTTTGGTCAAGTTTAAAATTTATAAACAAAATTGACTTCAGAAGGTTTTGGCGTTAACGAGTTGGGTCCTGAAATATTAAGTAAGATTATCTGTTTTCCTATTTTTGAGGTTGGTTTTGCGATTTTTGGTAGATTCGGAAAAAAACTTTAATTAACTCGTTGGAGCAATTATATCTACGAAAGATAGATACAAGATGAGTTTCTTAAACATTGATGCATAGCTAGGGTTTTACAATGTATTTATTTGAATTACATTGGCGCATAACTCTTCATGTGTATTTCTGGGTTGTTATTGTTATAATTGAATATGTCAGTTAATTGCACAACCTATTTAGAAGAGTGTGTGAAAAATTCACTTTTCACTGTACAAGTTAGGAAAGAGAATAATCAGAGACATTTTGATTACTGGGAATATACATCGAAATGAATGTATATTATTCAGATGTCGATTCTTGTACTGTTAACGTCGAACTGGAAATCACTCAATATTTATCGTCAAGATCGACCATGAAGTAAGAAAAGGAAACTTGTTGAAATACTTTGCGCTGAGAATTCTATATTGTACCAAAACTATACTATTGAATAAAGCCAATAATAATAATAAATAATAAATGGATAGAAATCACAAATCTAAAACATCCCAAATATCATATTACAAAACTAATCTTCCTAAACAATCTTTCATTGTTGATCGTACGAAAGAAAAATTCAATCAATTGATTAATCTAAAATAACAGGTATACTGATCATTTTATGACAAAGTATTTGTGAATGAAATTCATAGTATCTTATTCATTGAAAGATTGAAAATCTGAATCAATTTCGAAACAGGAAAAAGTTTCAATGGTTGAGATCATGAGTCAATTAAAGCTAGACCATGATAGAATACCTGAAAAGCACTGAACGGTCATTTCGTCCTATTGTAGGACTCCTCAGCAGTGTGCAAACACGATCCTGCCCCCCGCGTGATTGGAATCTATGCCCTACAAGTCTCGCGCGCGAGCGCTCAACCTTTAGGCCACTGAGCCACGAAATTGAGCGACACATCGACCATATTTGTTTGGTTTTTTTTACAAAATATTTTCAGATGATAAACAACATCAAAGATAATATTACTCACTTTAGATGAAAATCCCAGTATTGATTGTAAAGACTAAAAAAAGAAATCAATATAAAGTAGAATGGTATCAAAGTCAATAATCGAAAACAATCTATTCATTATTATTATTATTATTATTATTATTATTACTATTCTTGAAGTAAAAAAGTAATTCTCTGTAACAAAATTGTGAAATGAGTTTTGTTTATATATTCCCCTTTGTCTATCTTAACATTTTGGATATGGTTTTGAGAAACATACAAATACATACATACATACACACATACATACACAATTCAAATGACAATGGTACCATAATTAATAATAACAACAACCAACAACCAACAAAGCCAGTATTGAAAACAAAACAAACAAACAAGCTAAAAAGGGATAAACAGGGATTAAAAACCGAAAACAAACGAATTCAACTTCTTCACAAATATAGAAATGTATACATACATCAAACTAGATAGGTATGTTTTTTATAAAGAAATAAGACAATTCTCTCTCAATTTATTTCACGATTTATCTATTACGTAATCAAGCAATAACTACTTGAAGCAATGACGTTTTATAATGTAAAACAGTTTAGTATAGTGAAATGATGTATATAGATAAAAATTGAATGACTAATGATAAATTGTGCATTTATGTATTTCTCTATCCTTCTGACAACCACAGCAACCATTTATTTAGGTATATAGAATGCTCGTACAATGTGGAAGACCGGAAGAGTCTTCCAAATTGCAGAATTGCTGTTATCCGTCTAAATGAATAAACCACATTATCACAATGATTAGAAACCAATAAAATGGGTAAAAAAAGGAAACAAAATGATGTAGTAACAATAATAATGAGAAAGATTAAACAGTAAGACTGTGGTTCATAACCGATAGAATGAATAAGGCATCTAGGAAGGACTATTGGGACTCAAGGTCTTAAGAAAGAGTGACAACATGTGGACCATTGTGAAAAATCTTAAAAATTTGTTAACTGAAGTCTCCAACTACCCAAACAGATAATCTACATCTATCAACATAGTCAAGGCCAGCAGTCACTGACTTCCTAGACTGATGATATGTGCTAAGTTGAACGTCTCAAGTTTTATTTCAACCTAAATTAACAAACATCACCCATTGAGGTAAGCGATAGTTTGATAAATGCATAGCTCCACCCCCAATATACTTTCTAACCATGTTCTAAAGTCTGTTTTATCAAATTACACTTTTCGAAGGAACACAGAATAAATATAAATTTGAAAATCTATAATCATATTGTGGTGTGTACTACTAATGTTCACAGATATAAGTAGTATACAACACCAATCAGATATGGAATAGTTAGCAACAGAAGCTTGAGAAGATTGGATCAATGAGAACAGGAACAGATAGTAAATGTTATGGAAATAAATGAACAATGATCATTCAGACAATTGATTAAAGATTTTCAAATAAAGCATTGAATGTATGGTTTTCATGTTTTACCAAAGAACTCTATGACTTTGCATAGATATACATTGGTTGTTCCTGCTTGTGTTCTCGTTTATAGCAATGAGAAAGATTCCATTCGACAGCAATGTAGTAAAATGGTCAAATTTCTATCTTTAAATCAAGAGACTATTTGTATTCACAAGAATATTCTGAATCATTTCAGATGGTGGAGGAGATTTGTAGCTCAGGTGGATGATTTGGGTGGAGTTTTGTTCTCTGAGCTGGATGGTTTGGTCGTGGAGCTTTCATCGTTCTTCGGAACGACATCATCAGCACAAACTTCAAATAGAAGTGAATTTCTCCATATGTGTTTCACTTCACTTCTATTTGAAGTTTGTGCGGATGATGTCGTTCAGAAGAACGATGAAAGCTCCACGACCAAACCGTTCAGCTCAGAGAACAAAACTCCACTTGAATCATTTCAGCTTTGAAACTTTTTTTTAAATAATAAGTAATGAATAAAATAAACAATGATAAATTAATAACAATAATAAACAGAAGAAAGTGAACCCGAAAAAAACGCAACAAAAATCATACCTTTCCACAATGGTTGCATTTTTTATTTTGTTTTCGTCGTTTAACCCAATGATGTGTCGTATACTCCACGAGGATAATAAAACATAAAAAGAAAATTTGACGGTAATTAATTTAAACGGTATATTATATATATATATATATATATATATATATATATATATATATATATATATATATATATATATATATTATACAGATAGATAGATAGATAGATAGATGTGTGGATAGATAGATAGATAGATAGATAGATAGATAGATAGATAGATAGATAGATAGATAGATAGATGTTATTTACGCCTTATTAACGTAATATTGGGCTTATACATAAAACAAGACCAATAAACAAATTAACACTAAATTGGTCAAACATTGCTGTCCTTAAAGGTTAAATGAATAATTGCAAAGCAAATTATCACCGTAAATGAAGAATTAGACAACAACAATAACACTAGACATTGTTAGCTTTAAACCTATTTAGTTATTATTTATTTAAATGGACTGTAATTATGTTAAAATCTATTTAAAGTTTAATGTTTACTTTGATAAATCAATGAAATACTTACTTAAACAAATGATTTAAAGTTGAAAGATAATTAGTTTAATTATGATTGAATATAAGTATTGTGGAATATAGTGTAATGCCTCATTTTAGGGAAGATATAAAAGTAACATGTATATTAATAATTGAATTCATGAGTCAATTAACGTTAGACCGCCATGGAAAACCTGGAAGCATTTGACGGCTGTTTCGTCCTATTGTGGGATTCCTCAGTAGTATGCATCCACGATTATGCACCCCGGGAGATTCGGACCCAGGACCTATCAATCTTGCGCCAGGCGCTTAACCAACTAGACCACTGGGCCGGCATCTAATGGTGCTAATGTCTAACTTCAACTAATCCACGAAATTGAGCAAGACATCCACCATTGTCTTAAGTGGGTTACTATCTCACGATAGACCCGGTTGAATCCTATTGGTCACGGCTTCTCAATAAACTCCATAAAATAGATCTTGGATACAGTCACTAGTGAACAAACGGTCGTCTAGTGCTTCCAGCTTTTCTATGGTGGTCTGGCTTCAATTTACTCATGAATGCAATTATTAAATTACTAAAATCTCTACAAAACCCCTCTCCGATTATAATCGTCATAGTATGTATTTGTTGGAATCCTCCAAAAGTATCTCATTAACGTTTCCAGAAATGCAGAATATGTTAAAAAAGTTTTTATTCTATTAACATTGAAAAACATTTCTCAGAAATATTCAGAGTAATGAATGATTATACGTCAACTCATAACTGGATAATTACTTATTTGTTGCTAAGATTAACATATTTCCAGAAGCTTCTACATAGTTAAGGCCATTTGTAAACCTCCAAAAAATGTTTGTGTGCATAAAGTATGCTTCAAGTAAGGTTTCCATTCCTATTCCTCAAGTTTTCTTTAATATTTGGTTCATATATAGGAATGGCGTGGGGGTATAGACAGTGGGTAAGCAATCAGTATATAGGGGTCAAGTAGAGGTATGTTAGAATGCAAAATTACACACGGAATTGAACTCAAAACCTACTGACTACATAGTATTCATGTTATCTTTAGATCACCGAGTTTAATGTTGGTGATCCAAATTTTTAATATTGGACAATTTCCAAGATAGATCGAAGATTATTCAATAGAATGGCTGATAAGTATTCTATTTCGAATAATGATGATCTCTATGAACTACAGTAAGTCAATGAAACATCAAGATTACATTTCAAAGCTAGCAACTACTAAATAAACTAGTAGTAATTGAAAAGTTATTACTATTCTATGAAGCAACAAGATATCAATCATTAATAATATTTACTCTGACTCTACTATCTCATAAATCTGTGTCTATTTTGATCTGTAAGTAACCTAAAACTCATTTTTATGGAGATAAATATTGCTCAGGTGATAGTTCTTAAGATATATTACTTAAGTATGCAATATATTTTGATATCTTCCTTGCGCGAGAGACCGATAGACCATGGGTTCGAATCTCACGGAAAGGCGAGATCGTGGATGCACACTACTGAAGAGTCTCATAATAGGACGAAATGGCTATTCAGGGCTTCCAGGTTTTCAATGGTGGTCTAACATTAATCGGTCCATGATCTCAATCAAAAACTTAACAATCTTCACAACCACTATATTGACATTTATGATGGATTTTCAGTTTGAATTAATCACATTTACAACAACAATAACAATAGTAGATAAAGAGATTAAGTGTTACTGTTTGAATGAGAATATGTAAACAACTAATTTTTATAAAAAAAATATCATTCAACTTTTATCATTGAAATATACTATAAATTCAATCACAATGTTCACTATACAATTGTAATGATGATGTAAACAAAATGGGAATAATAATCTTGATAAACATAATCTGTTTATTATTTATAGGAGGAACAATGAATGTCAATATAATTTGTCAAGTCAATAAACTTTATAACTAGAATGTATTTGACAATTATACTATTATAGTTGATAAGTCATTGTGTTGTTTATGAATGAAAATACGTTTTTTTTCATAAAAAAGAAACACTACTTACAAAAGGTAATTGATAATATATTGATTGTTTGTTTGTTTGTTTTATTATTTAGTAAACACTTGAAATAGTTTGTTTTCATTTCATCTCTTGTTTACATTATGTTTACATTATGCATAGTGTTGTGATGGGTAGTGTCAAAAATTTGATTTTGATACCATGATGTGTTACACGATAACCACCATCCCCACTCAATTGACTAATTGAGTGAGAAAACAAGAGTGAAAAAGAAAGTACATTGGGCTACCGAATAAAATAAACAAATTCATAATATGTACCATTCTAATCCTAAGAAAATTGGTCGATTTGTTAGTTTATGAAATGTACTTGTCATTTAGATCACTTTTGAACAATTGACCTTTTGATTGACTTTCCATAATAATTAGCAATAATTCACTAGTGTACAATTCAGTAATTTATTGACAAAGTATATATGTGATCAGATTTTTCAAAATCTTTCTTCAGATTAACTTCATCTTCTCATTCTTCTATCGAGATTTATCAAAGAAATTAATAACTTTAAATTCATGCAAAGCTGTAACTGGAAAATTTAAGGCTGATATCGAAAAGATATAAATGCTTAAGCAAATATGTATGTATTTATATGAATACATAATGTAAACAGAAACTAGTTTTATATTTGAATGATCACTGGGTGGTGATCAATGTCGTGTGTGTCAAGTCCTTACTTAGTGCAGATCGAATATTATCGACGAAGTTGCAATGTAGCCACTAGTCTAGATGATTCGACATACAGTGCACTATATTGAGATAAGATAGTGGTTGAAGGTAGTCAACTTGGAAACCCTGGACCTAGTTTCTATGATGCATAGAAGTTTTTTCGATGTAGTTCTTCACAGTGTCAGTATATCCTGTGAAGAATACACGTCAATTTAAAAAAACACAACAACAAATGAAGTGATATGAGAATGATTGATGTTATTGTAAATACTATGCAAATGAGTAACATTTAAACAGGTAAAAATAAGTTTGATTGAAATCATGAGTCAATTGAAACTAGACCACCATGGAAAACCTATAGGCATCGGACAGCCGTTTCGTCCTATTGTGGAACTCTTCAGCAGTGCGCGTCCACGACTCCGCGAGATTTGAACCTAGGACCTACCAGTCTCGCGCCAAGCGCTTAACCAACTAGACCACTGAGCCGACATCCACTGGTGCTAATGTCTAACTTCAACTAATCCACGAAATTGCGCGACCATCTTCCATTGTACTGAGGTAGACACTTGTTTCTACCCTACCGTCCAGTGCTTCTAGGTTTTCCATGGTAGTCTGGCTTCAATTGACTCATGATTTCAATCAAAAACTTAACAATCTCCACAACCCCTAAACTGAAAAATAGTTTCGATGATTCATGAATAAGATTTTAAATTTGTTACTGTCTAAGTAATAGTTGATTTATCACTAAGTATAATCCATTCAGTTAAGTTAGATAAATCACTAATCTCAGTCCAATGGTAGACATGAAGTTCAAAGAAGGGATACAAAGAATAATGTACATAGTGATCTTGATTATTAACTAAGATGTAGATTGTCTAAAATATCACTTGATTAAGTTTATAAACTTAATATTGTATCAATATAACTTATATATCTAATATAATTCATGATAATAATAAAATAAGGATACTTTGGTTAAGTTCTAATTTCTGATTATTGAAATATAAATATATCAATACAATTTATTATTAACAATCAACATAATAATAATTTATATTCTGTAAATAATAATTACAGAATTCACGCCAGTTTACAGGCATGATCAACATATATCAGAAGGGGTTTTGCGGAGATTGTAGTAATTTCAACAGTTGAGATCATGAGTAAATTGAAGCTAGACCACCATGGAAAACCTGGAAGCACTGGACGGCTGTTTCGCCCTATCATTCTACTCCTCCTTGGCAGTGAACATCCACGATCCCGCTCGTGGGTTTCAAACCTAGGGCCTTCAGTCTCGCTCGTGAACACTCAATCTACTAGACCACTGAGCCGGCCGACATCCAACGGTGTTAATGTCTAACCTCAAACTATTTTAGTAATTTTCACCGGTAATAACAAAAATGTGAGCACAATAGGACGAAACGGCCGTCCAGTGCTTTCAGGTTTTCCATGGTGGTCTAGCTTCGTTTGACTCATGATGTCAACTGTTGAAATCAACATATATCTTAATTTATGTGGAATTATCATAATGGGGATTTGTACAGATTGTGGTATATTAACAGTTGAATTCACGAGTCAATCTAAGCTAAATCACCATTGAAAACCTCGAAGTATTGGACAGAAGTTTCGTAATAGTATGGGACTATTCATCAGTAAGAATACACAATCACTCACACAACATTTCAAAATACGACCTTCGGTTTCGTCGGTGACCACTTAAGATCAGTTCATGATTTAAACGATGGACGTTTTGTTATTTCTAAAACTATATTTATATATATGGAATATTGATAAAAATTATATATTTAATTGCATTTTGAGGTTCATTCGTTTAAAACTGTTCTTCTCAAAAACTAAGATCAATTCAGAAAATGGGAAACGTATCACTGATGATACAAATTGGTTTTTGTGTTATCATTTAAACCTAATGTTGTCTCAATTGAGCCTAAACATTCTTTCCTCATTCTGTGCAGTAGTAGTAGTAGTAGTAGTAGTAGTAGTAGTAGTAGTAGTAGTAGTAGTAGTAGAGGTTGAGAATTGCTTAGTAGCCCAAAAACTAGATACTTATTCTATGTTCTCTGCTCTTCAGCAATTACCAAGCTGATTCCGACAAATAACCAGTAAAAACATTTTAAGAAAATATGGCTTGAACGAAAAAAGTATTTCATTTCCATTGACTCCTGATTAAAACCTGGCAGTAATATATAGTTTTACCTATGAATATGAAATCAATACCAGTATGGGGCTGGTGAATGTACTAACCCATTATTAAAAATAATAAACTGGTAAAAAAAATTCGGTTGACTGATAAAACATAGTAAACTCCATGTAACTAGTTTAACATTTCCACATGACATCTCTTAACCGTATTAGAAAGTTTTAAAATACATCAATGTATCCAGGAAACAATTATACTTGCTTTCTCTTTGTTTCTCTACTTTGATTATTTAACTCACGTCAAAAGTAACCTTTCATCAAATTTTTTTGAAAATCTTTTATATAATCATTTCGAATAGTTCATAGATTATATCAGTAGTTGAAATCATGAGTCAAGTAAAGCTAGACCACCATAGAAAACCTAGAAGCACTGGATGGTCGGTTCGCCTTTGTATGGAACTCCTCAGCAGTACGCACCCGCGATCCCACTCCACCCGATTCGAACCCATGACCTATCAGTCTCGTGATCGAGTGCTTAACCATTAGACCACTGAGTCGGCTGGCACCCATCGGTGTTATTGTTTAACTTCAACCAATCCACGAAATTGCACTACCGTACACCATTGTCTTAAGTGAGTCACTATCTCACAACAGACCCGGTCGAACTCAACTGCTCAAGGAATCTCACTAGAACTCCAGGAAATGCCTTTTGAAGTCTGTCACTAGTGAGCAAATGATTATAGTCAGAGAGGGGTTTTGTAGGAATTTCAATAGTTGAAATCACTGAAGACAATGGTGGATGGTTGAAGTTAGACATTAGCACCGTTTAGTGCCGGCTCAGTGGTCTAATAGTTAAGCGAGACTGATATATCATGGGTTCGAATCTGCCGGTGGGTGGGGTTGTGAATGCGCGCTGCTGAGGAGTTCCATACTGGGAAAAAACGGCCGTCCATTGCTTCCAGGTTTTTCATGGTGGTCTAGCTTCAATTGATTAATGATTTCAACTATTGAAATTTCTAAAATCTACAAAAAATCCCTTGTGATCATAGATTATTTGTTAAAAATTATGATCACATCTATTTATTCTCTATCCTCATCATTAGATATACTATTAAAACTGATTTCCATAGTGAACTAATCTCTATGTTTGAGATGAGAAATATATAGAGAAAAGAAAGATATAATTACTTACAGTTTTTTCTGTACGATAATCATGAATAAATGCTTCACGAAATGTTGGTCTACAAGATACCTGAACCTATAAAGAAAATACAAGTAAAGAATGAAGTTATATAAAGAATAAATAAGTTTATAATATTAGATGACAAACCTAACTTAGGTCAAGTTAACGTGACTGGAAAAAAAGGATCTTTTTGACTATGTTGAAATGTACAATTCTTTTTAGGTCCACTTATATTACAACTAATATATTAATGAGTATATTATATAATAGAGAATTGTATGTAAATTGTATGTAGCTCTTCTAGAGTTACTACCGGGTCCAAAGTCCGGGTAAATGAAGAGGGTTGAGCATATGAGGTTGACAATTTCATCCTGTAGAAAATAAACTTGATAAAAAAAAACCACTAACCAGATTAAATAAATTAAACCATTAACAACTGAATTCATAGATATAATGAATGGTGATATGATATTATCGAGTTATTTTAATATTTCAAAATTTAATCAAAAGTGTCACGGAAACATTAAAACAAAATGTATTCATACAAAAAATTTTTAAAAAAAACAGACAATATATATATTCTCTTTTTCCTGCTGACCGACTGGATTATGAAGACGTCAACATCTGAGGGGAAGCATGGGATGAAGTGGACGAAGCTGGACGATCGCTAGATTTCGTAGATGATCTGGCCGTTCTACCACACAAGCAACAACAAATGAAACAGAAGACGATCAGTGTAGTAACAGCCTCGACAGCAGTAGATCTCAAAAATACATAAAGGGGAAAGGCGAAATTCTCCGATACAACACAACATGCGCCAATCAAATCAAACTTGAGGGAGAAGATTTGGAAGATGTAGAAAAATTAACAGATCAGAACAGCATCATTGATGAACACGGTGGATCTGATGCAGATGTGATGGCGCGGATCGGTAAAGCAGGAGCAGTATATTTCCAACTGAAGAACATCTGGAACTCAAAACAGCAGTCTGTCAACCAACACCAAAGTCGGAATTTTCAACACAATGTCAAGACAGTTCTACTGTATGGAGCGGAAACTTGGAGAACTACGAAATCCATCATCCACAAGATACAAGTGTTTATTAACAGTTGTCTACGCAAAATACTTTGGATCCGTTGGCTAGACACTATCAGCAACAACGTAGTGTGGGAGAGAACAAACAAGATTCCAGTGGAGATAGAAATCAGGGAGAAACGCTGTAAGTGGATAGAACACACATTGAGGAAAGCACCCAACTGCATCACAATGAAAGCTCTGACTTGGAATCCTCAAGGACAAAGGAGAAGAGGAAGACCAAAGAATACATTACACTGAGAAATGGAGACAGATATTGGAAGAATGAACAATATTTGTATAGAACTAGAGAGGAAGGCCTAGGACAGAGTGGATTGTAGAATGCTGGTTGGCGGCCTGTACTCCATTAGGAGTAACAGGCGTAAGTAATTTTTATATTTAACGATAAACGTTATAGGAATATTATGAAATATTAGATAACTAGTGATAATCAGTAAGAAATTGTATATCTACTTTTCATGTTATTTAGCAACTGTCAACAAAGTGTACTTATAATCTTTAAGAACTAAACAAACATAACATTGGTCATTGACTAATAAAGTGTATATAAATATATATCAGTAGGATGTGAGCTAGATTTCCCCCATAGCAATCAATAGTGTTTGCCAACTATCACAAATCGATTGAGATTAGGCAGGTGCATAACTAAATGTAAACCCAGTAGTTTGAAACTTAACTTCTCACTGAGAGAACTAAAGGTTTTTGGCCAGATTCCCGATAAGCCCTCGTAAGGCCGAGAGTGGGGAGAGTCAGCTCACTCTCTCGAAATGCTCTGACATCACCACGCGTATACAGCCACTACCAGGGAAGTCCTACTTACTGGCTTCTTACAAAGTGGGTGGTATTTACAAAATTCAGAGGATGAAAAGCGAATGACGAGCGCTTTAACCGGGTTGATGGATATGGAAGATCCACTTAAGTTAGTTGGAAAACCATTATTCCAAACTAATGGTTCATATGGGCTCCAGGATCCTAAAGGAAAAAAATGGCGTTTGAACCAATCATTAGTCACTGGCTACCATGGGACTGCATCTCCTTACGATGCTCCCACTGCCTTGTGGATCAGACCTTCAAGTCAAAGGCTCCGGGTGTGACCCCCTAAGAAAACCACCTGCTTCGGCAGTATCATAGACCAGACACAAATCAAATGATTTATGTGGCGCATATATATTCGATGCCCCTTCGTATAAATATTTATATATTCAAATAAATAACAACTAAATAAGATCCCCTGTAGATTCATTGTAGTATACTTTAAAGGAGTCATACAATAGACTAGTATTTACCATATTTCATTGATTATCTAACTCAGTTTATTTTATAATAGTAACTATGACAATGTGTCATTACCAAGGAACATATTTTTTTTTTAATTTCACAGCATCATTTTTTTGTTTTTTTTCCATTTTTATTTTGAATGAACAATTAAAGTTTTAACCATTTTCATTGCATCTACATCATTTAAATGTTTGTTAATGATGTAAAAAAATTTTTTAATAATCCACAAATTTATTACATAATGTAATTAGGTTTTAATTAATTTTTTTTTTCATAGACAATAAAGTGAATTGTTTATTTCATTTGGTTTTTTTATTAATAGTCATTGTGAAAAATGCTAGTAACAATTAATCAGTCAGTCAACTATAACATTAGGACCAGGCACAAATATGCATTGGTCCAAGTTACCACACTTTACTCATTAGTACAACAAGATGAACACCGGATTCCTAGAAGTAGTTAAGTCAATGGTGATAATATATAGGAGAAAGATGGTATATAAGGAGATAATATAGGAAGAAAGAGTTAGTTGGTAGAAAGAAAGATATAAAGCGATTTTAGTCTCATCGTTTAATGGAAGACAGAGAGTGTATACACTGACACCATTGTGATCGATTCTGAGCCATGTCACACACAGTCTCCAACCATTGGTTACGATAGTCACGCGAACCCCAACAAGTAGTCTGAATCTACCAACATGGCTGAGACTAGAAGTTAATGACTTCAAGCACTGATGCCACGTTTTGGTTTGGCCGCCCCTAACTGCTAGCAACATTAGAATAAATGGGAAATATAATCATGTTTCTTAGATTTTGAAAATATAATAATTAGAAACTGCAAATAAAAAAAGTTTTTTTTAATAGTTGAGATCATCAGCCAATTGAAGCTAGACCACTATTGAAAACCTGGGAGCACTAGACGGCCGTTTCTTCCCATTGTGGAACTCCTCAGCAGTGCACATCCACGATCCTGCCTCATGAGATTCGAACCCAGTCTCCAGTGCAAACGCTTAACCTCTAGACTACTGAGCCGGCCAGCACCTAATGATGTTAGTGTCTAACTTCAATCGATTCAGAAAGTCCAACTCTTGTCGGGTGGAGACAGTTATCCACCTCACATAATGGATGAAGGGTTGTGAGAGATCATGGATAGACTAAAGTTAAACACTAACACGGTTGGATGCCTACTTACTCGTCTAGAGATGAAGAGCTTTTTGAAGAAACTGAAGGTCGTATTTTTGAATGCCGTGTGTGGAATCATGTATGCACACCGCTGAGGGGTCCCACAATAGGGCGAAACAGTCATTCAATGTTTAGGGGATTTCAATGATGATTTAGCTTAGATTGACTAATGTGTACACCTGTTAAAATTATTACACTCTCCACAAACCCCCCATTCTGACCATCATATTTAACTAGGAAAGATTATAAGTACATTAGTTAAATTATGTCATTCGAAAGCTAAGATTACTATTGATTAATTAGCTTTAAGTTTGGTTAAGGTAAAAAAAAAAGTAGTTGAAGATATTTCTTTTGTATACATAGCTCTAATTTCTTAAACCGAATAGCTACTGTTACCATCGTATATCTCTTTGTATCTCTTTACATCCCTAAACGGTTTAATAACTGTTTAGTTAATAAATAATAGTGTTTAATCAATTACTTATATTGATATACAGTTTTATTGATCGATTCGATAAAGTGATCATAATCTAAATAATTCTAGTTAGAAGTAATCATTAGTAAACTTTAAATCTAATCTCAGTTATAATTTATTAGCATAGATGTATTTGAGAATATAAAGAATTTGTTGTTTCTCATAAGATGTGAACTTATTTAATATATGTAAGAACTTTCATTTAAAATTCATTGAAAAGTTTCACAGTATTTTGGTGCCAAGTTGATGTAAGACATTATAGAGGACGAATGTATTTGTAAAAATATCAGTGAATGAATTTGAAGTAAATTACAATTGATTGATCACTGGGTGGTGATCAATGTCTTGCTTGTCTAGTCCTTATTAGTGCAGATCAAATGCTATCGATCATGTGGCAATGTGGCCACCAGTCTAGGTGATTCGACACTGCGGGCACTATGTATTGAGATTCATCGTTTCACTTAGCAATCTGCTTCAAGCTTTTTCATTACTATAAAATCAAAAGTAGTAAGAATCAAAGATTTAATACACAATGAGGAACAACTGAACTGTGTTTATGAAATCAAATATAGTGACTGTAATGAAACATATATAGATGAAACATCAAGACAACTGAATGTGACAGTGAAGGTACACAAACTATGCTCAAAGCACATTCCTAAATCTTTAGTTGATGTAAGAAAACTCGAGAGTAAATCAGCGGTAGCATTACACTCGATAGAATAGGGTCATACGATTGATTTGACTGGCACAAGAATCCTTCAAAGATGCTTTAATTCCTACAATGAGAGAGACTAACAGCCAAAGCTCTACATATATGGGCTAATCCAAATAGTATTATTAGGAGAGACGGAATACAACTAGCTGTTCCATGGTAACTAATAATTAATAAATAAACCTGATCTCCTTATTCCATTTTATCTATCTTGTATTATCTGAATAACAGATAATACATTCAACGCTTCAAATCAGTTATCTTATCTGAATATGTTAAACAATTAACTGGAACATTGAAATAACACAAACTTTCAATTACAAATAAATTCTTCCTCTTTGAATTCATTCCTTTATCTTGTTTACTCATCTTCGTTTTATGCATGCAATGACATATTTTTATCACATATCTCTTACACAATAATACAAATACCTACTTCAAAGATTGTTAACGTTGATTGAATAACCTATTCAGTATACAATGAACCGGAGAACCATGTACCTATTTATATTCGATAATTTTATTGTTTAATTATATTTCCTTGAAAAAGCTCGGACCAGATTGTCAGGCGGTACGTTGGATTTACTTCAAATGTATTCATTGACATTTCACAAATATATTCTTCCTCTTTATATAATATAAGTTTAAAAGTTCTCTTTGCAACCCTATTAACTAATAACATCAAAAACAATTCATGAGATATTAGATCTCTTACACTTATGAATACATCACAACTTATTCAATAGAATTCAATCAATATCACGGACTAAACAAAACACAGAATGGATACCACTCATAGGTGAAATCAATTTACAAATAAGTTTATCAGACTGTTTAAAATGAATTCGCTTACCAATGGAAGACAATTTACATGACAAACAATATGACAAACAGAGCATTTCCTTTTCGCTCCAGATTTCTATACAAGAAAAATACAAACAATATATATAAAGAAAAGGGAATTAATTATACTGATAAATTACAGAAAGTAACTAAATAAATCATTAGGTATTTATTATTTCTCATATATAATAGGTCATTCACCCCACTGCACAAGCAAGTGGCTATCAGGATTCAGTAGATAAGTGGAGAACGCGATGACGTTTGATGCAAACGGTACTCAGTTAGAGTCCGGAGTGAATAACAACTCTGAGATGTCAGGTACATCCAGATGACGAGTCCCAAATAGGAAGAAACGCGCGTCCATGCATTCCACTGCTAGCCACTATTCATCTTTGCTAATACAAATTTAGTCTTAAAAATAAAATTTCTAACAAGAAACTGATAACTTAATGAATATTTGTTCAAATGGAATGTCTTCTACTCGGACGTATGTTACTGACTAACTATCTGTTATAATATCTCTAGATTAAACCTACATTTGAACTTGAATAGTAAAGAAAACGTGCAAATTAAGAATGGGATCTTTATCTTAAGATGTTTAAAACAACAACATTAACCATAGGTATATTGATAATCACTAAACTTTGGAAACTGAAAACATGTTAAGCTAAGTAACAGAGTAGGTAATGATCCATTCGGTGCATGGCAATATAATCTGTTTACATTGTGTATACTGATTGATCAAAATGCTTTCAGCCACCTTTTGGCTTCTGAAGATCAATTTAAAGAATTCTTGTGGAGTACAAATAAACATAAGTGATGAAATGATGTTACAATATGTTGCAGATGAATAGATCATCGAATAAATACCCGATATAAAATATTGACAATATTCAACAATAATCAAAAGATTCACTAAAAGTAGAAGATAAGAATAATAAATTTGCCTAGCTTACTACACTGTCTAATGGCTCTTTTAAATAATCCCACTTTTTAAAGCAACCAAATGATTGGACTAGCCATCGGATGAAATGATGTTTAAAGTACCGTGTAGTGTAACCTATCAACGTTAAATGTCAATTATTTACCTGTTTTTAGAGCACGTTCAACCTTCATATAGTCTAAAGCATTAAACTGAATAGTTTCGAAGATATTAGTAGACGAGGTTTACGTAGACTGTTGAATTCAATAGTTTACATATTTATATAACTGACTTCAGTTAGACATTTATTAAAAATGAGGAAGCGCTAGAGAGACGTTCTACCATAGTATCGGATGCCTCAGGAGCACACATTCAAGACCACAGTGAGACCTAACTAAGCTACATATTTTTCAAACTGTTTTCTGTGGAATAATGTCACATTTTATGCAGAAGAACTACATAACACAAGGAATCAATAAGTAATTGTTTCCTTCTGTCTCTTCACTCTTGGTTAATGTTCAACCATGACACACACCTAAAGATTGATACAATCAGAAAACTGCTTTATATTCTGTTTTGGTTAACCCTTAAAGTAAAGATACAAACAAGTCACGAGTACGATAAAATCTCATTTATAATATTAAATACGCAACGCGCTATTTAAAAATGTCAGAAATGTAGGCAACTGGATCCACCTACAGGAATATACATTTTCAAAAAAACTTTCATCCAAACCGTAAACCAACCTACGTTTAATAAGTGTTGAAACACTAGAAGCATTAGATGATTGTTTCATCCTAGTATGAGACTCTTCAACAATATTTCATAGTTGCCATATAATCTCAAATGACTGAGTAAAGGGATTATAAGTGGATGTCAGTACATTTCCAATGTCTAAAGACTTAAAAGTGAGTATCTTATTGATTGTAAATTGTAAAAGAAAAATTTATTATAAATAGGTTTCCCTACTCTTCATTAATAAAACATAGATCTGTTGATATTAAAGAAAAAAAAAGAGTGACTTGATAAAACGCTAAGAATTGATTTCCTTTTACCCAATCATGAATTTTTAATAATTGCCTCAGTTACTATGTAAAATAAAACTCTTATACAAAGCATCATGAAAATATGTTATCTTATTAGTGAATGGTTTAAGTTTAACAATAGGACAAAATGGCAGTCCAGTGCTTCCAGGTTTTCGATGGTGGCCTAGCTTCAACTGACTAATGATCTTAACCAGTGAGATAATCATTTTGTCAATGATGTAATACGTTACTTGTTAGTAATCATACAGTTCATTGAATGAGTTTTTTCCTTTATGAATAAGAATTATTCTACATTAGATAAATTACATTTAAGGTAATAGGTTCTAGTCTAAACTTCGCCTGTAGCTCTTCTAGAGTTAATACCGGTTCCAAGCTTGGTTAAAGGAGGAGGGTTGGGTATGAGGTCGTTAACCCCATCCCATAGAAAAAATCTCTTTTAAAAAATCGCCAACCCGATTAAGTATGTTCAAGTCTAATTCACTTTATGATGCAGTCGATTGTAAGGTAATATGTAATGTTAATATACATTTATGTAACATAAAGAATAATTGCTATGGTGGTGTGTACTACTGGTGTCGATTGATATAAGTAGCATGTATCATCAATTAAAAGTGAAATGCCAGCTGGCAGAAGGTTAAGAAGGTCGAACAAAAGGGAATGAGAATAGAGAATGATTTCTGTTGAAATCAAAGAACAATGAAGTCTGAGACGATTGGCTGACATTTTTCAAATGAACTATTTACTTTATAGTTCTCAGATTTTACTAAGATGTTCTATAATTTTGTATCCACATCCATTCGATTGTCCCCATGTGTGTTCTCGTTCACTACAATATCATGGAGATATACGGACATATATATATATATATATGGGACGCAATTAGATCTGATTAAATAAACACATTTTTAAAAATAATAAATATATTTTTGTTATATATCACTGAGTAGAAAATTGTATTTCTGACGTTTCGTGACTTCGTGTTAGCCACTTCTTCATTGTCAACAAATTTTTAATATTGACTTGAACTCATGAAAATACACCAATAATATTTTAAGTTTTGTATTAAGAATCCGCCTTTGAAAAAGTATTAGTAATTAATAGCTCACAATTAACTATATGTTATTTCAGTGAAACTTATACTGTACATCAAAATTGTTTTATTGATTACTGATAGTTTCCTGATAGATGCTATTGTCTAATCAAAAGTCGAACATAATAATAATGCCAGTTAATGAGTATCATTTTAGCTGGTTGGAGGTAGTCGATAGGATACTCTGAACGTAGGTTTCGAGCCATTTGACACTCATTAAAAAGTTGTGCCTGTAATCTTGAGGATACTCCCTAGCGGATTCAATTCAATGTCACCTAACTTTACAGTCCAGGATGTTATAAGTAAAGTCTTTGGGCAGCGACTCACCTTCTATCAGGATTGAGATATTCATGATTGACTGATCATTGAAGTATATAAAATTACTTAGACTAGTGACCATATTACAGACAGATCGAAGAAGCTCGAAAAAAACAATATAAATTTAGCTTCTATTAAATGGCTAGTTAACTATTACTAAATATGACTACAAATGAATTTCTATGCAAATCAATTACTGTAATAAAATGTCATATGTATTGTCAATAAATTCAGTTGGAACTTCAATTTATTTAATAATTCTGTATCATATGACGTAAGATATTACTTACTATAAAGAAATCATTGATAAAAAGTGAACAAACAATCTTAAAACCATTGCCGTAAATTTTGAAAAAAAATTATGTTAAGTATGATAAAAGAAACTCTGCCTATAGCTCTTCTAGAGTTACTGCCGGTCCCAAGTCCGGTTAAAAGAGGAAGGTTGGGTATGGGGTTAGATACTTATCTCGCAGAAAACAAACTCGTTAGAAAAAACAACGCCAACCGGAAAAAAATAATTCAAACCATTTAAATTCTGTCCTAGGAGTTAGAAGCTCTTCCTTTAGAAGAGTTATGATGCCTCATGGTGAAAGCCGAGTTCCTGAGTAAGTCAAGAGGCTGATGCCTCTTCTAACAACCAGAGTAAAACTGTTTATAAGTGTAAGGAACGTCTGGACAGTGTGTGAGACCAGAAACACCAGTGAAATATCAACGGAAATAAGGAGGTAGTACTGAGAATCAGCGAAACCTATTGAACCGAAACTAGACAGCAAAGACTAGATACAAGAAAGTTGCTGTTATACTTCGGTCACGAAAAGGAAAATGTTCCATACACTTAGAGAGTTGCACTAATTCTGTCCAATGATAAAAGATATTGAATAATCCTATTATGATACAGTTAAAAGATGTACTTTCTTTTTTTCCTGTTTTATTACAAAAAACTATACTACTTATAATAAGAATAGTTTACAATTCAGTAAACACTAATTTTTACAATCCATGTTTTATTTTACAGATGATTTCATTTATTGTTTTGTTATATTTTACAATAATAAAAAGAAACTAATTAAAGTTTTCCATTGAGATAAATTAAGTAAATCTGAAATCAATAAATTAGGTAGTTGGATTATTTATAAAAGATGTAACTTGAATCTAATCAAATATAAGTAGTTAATGTTGTCATATAACAAAGTACAATTATATTGAATGACATTCGATTGAGTATTATGAATTGAATGATTGATTGAATAATTTAATGTATATCATATATGATATAATTAATTACGTCTGTTATCCCATTGTGAAGGAACATAGGCTGTTCATCACTATTCCTGATTGAACTCTATCTTAGATAATCCTTTTTATTTGTTTCCACTTGTTATTTATTCTTTTCATATTTGTTTCCGTTTCTTGTCGCAATTTGTTCTTTGTTCTTCCTTTTTTCCACTTCTCTTCAGGACTTCAAGTAATTGCTTTTCTAGCGATGCAGTTTGATGATTTCCGTAATGTATGTCCTATCCACTTTCAACATCTTTTCCTAATTTCTGATTCAATTGGAATCTGGTTTGTTCTCTTCCACAGTATATTGTTGTTGATGGTATCCGACCAACGGACAATGGGTATCTTACGTAAACAATTGTTTAGAAATAGTTGTACAGATTTGATGATGTTTTTAGTAGTTCTCCAAGTTTCAGCTCCGA